TCGACACTGATGCAAGTAACAGCCCGCATCGGTGCTGTACTATCGCAAATGCAGGAGGGTGTGGAACGAGTATTGGCTTATGGCAGTCGCAAGTTGGCAAAGTGTGAACAGAACTACTGCACAACAAGACGTGAGCTCCTGGCTATAGTAGAGTTCACATCCCATTTCCGTCAGTATCTCCTTGGCCGGCCGTTTAAAGTGAGTACGGACCACAGCAGTCTGCGCTGGCTGACCAAAATGAGAGAGCCAGAAGGACAGTTAGCTCGATGGCTTGAGAAACTGGCTGAATATGACTTTGAGATTGTCCATCGTCCAGGTCGACAGCACACTAATGCCGACAGCCTCTCCAGGAGACCCTGTCGCCAGTCCTGCCCGTGTAAAGTGCAGGACCCCTCAACACCACCCAAAACCATTAACCATCAGGCTGTACAGTGCGAGTTGAACTCTGACACCAACTCCCTGTTGCTAAGTTCAGAGGAGGAGGAGGACCAACCTTTCACCACAGAGGTGTGTCCAGTGAGGGTAAGTCAAAGCACCCTTATAACAGATACAGACATTTTAGACCAAAACATTTCCACTGATACAGATGGAATGCATCATGATGACAAAACTGATAGATGCACTGTGAAAATGACTGAGAAAGTATATGTGGCTAAGACTTTTGACATTGCTTCTTTGTTTCATGGCTGGACTATGGGGGAGTTGAGCCAGGCCCAGGACGCTGATGCGCACATTGCATCCATACGCAGCTGGATGAAGGCCAGCGATGAACGCCCCCCGTAAGTCTGTTGTCTCGCCATGCAGCCCAGCCACTAAGACATACTGGACTCAATGGAAACGACTCTACTTCAGAGATGGCGTCCTGGTCCGCAGGTTCTATTGCCTTGATGACACTCAATTCTACCCACAAATTGTGCTGCCACGTAAGTTACAAACTGACGTGATGAGACAGATGCATGAGGGGCCAGTGGGTGGACACTTTGGTGTGGAGCGAACTCTGGCCAGATTAAGAACCCGATATTACTGGTACCATATGAGGGAGGATGTTGCTCTTTGGTGTAAAACCTGTACCAGCTGTGCATCCAGGGCTCGCCCTCAGAAGACACCGCAAGCTCCCATGGGAACAGTCCAGGTAGGGGCTCCTATGGAACGCATTGCACTGGACATTATGGGTCCACTAAATGAGACTGAGCGTGGGAACCGCTATGTGCTTGTGATACAAGATTACTTCACAAAGTGGACTGAAGCGTTTCCTATTCCAAACGAGCGGGCTGTGACTGTTGCAGGTATCGTTGCTAGTGAGTGGGTGTGCCGCTATGGAATCCCTCAAGCGCTACACAGT